CTGAAGTATTTTCGTGGCATGATCAGGAGTGCCCAGGAGTCATAGACCCAAAGAGAGATTCTGGAGACTCAGAAATTCCCATTGGATTTATGGGGGTGTCTTGCACAGCAAAGCCCAAGTGCCACCAGGCTGCCTAGTGTTTCCTTCACTGTAGAAAGGTGATTTTGACAAAATGGTTATTTTGTCCATAGCTTTAAATTAAAAGCACAATATTTTCAAACTTTCTAGAGACTTCTTTTAGACCAGCTAAGTTGGAAAGATAAATGGTCCAGTGACTACTAGCTAATTCATCTGCATGTGCAGCTGGAAAATTATTTTCTGTGCACATAGTGCAAAACTTTTCCCTAACTACGAGGTTTAGAGACGCTTTGGGAGTAATTAACTATAATGTAGAAGCAAATCTGGGTTCATTATATGCACTGCTCATTTATGAAATGTTTTTGTGCATAAAAGCCCATTAGTAAGTTTCCAAAACTTCCATGAATGTTAAACTTTTTATTATAGGACTCCAAGCACTTCTTATTTTACATAAAATCTAGTGTAATCCCACGAATTACATTTAGGCTTTGATCCTGCATAGCAAATTTCTGTGCCACAGTGTATTCAAGTGCTAAAATCTGGCTTTTATGTAGTTATTTAAGAGTGATAGAACAGCTCTTTTCCTGTGGACTACACAAAAAGTTGAGGATATACTCAAAATGAATTGCGTGCTATTGATTTTATTCTGCTTACTGGTTGGCTTCCATACTCTGTGTATGTGTGTGTTTTTGTTGTTCTACTAACTGCTTTCCTTCTGTGTTTTTAGTCCTATGTTGTACACAGATGTCGAGATCCTGACTCTAGTGCAATGGAAATGTAAAGCAAAGCTGCTGTTTTCATCAGCTGTACAGGATTGGCAGTCAGACTGGTTAAATTCCTGAGGATATGATTTAGCCAGGATTAGGAATACATGCCCTTAGCCTCAGTGGGTGTAGGCATGTGTCTGAAGTTGAGAGTATGTTTAATTTGCTGAATTAGGTCAATGCATGATTCTAAATGGACTCCCTCAGAGGCAGCAGCGTGACACTTTCTGGCCTGTGTTACATGGGCAGTCAGTGGACGTAATCTGACTTGCCCTCACTGTCAACTAATTTGTGAAGAAGCATAGATCAAGTGAGACAGTCCAAGGAAATCTATCCTACTGACTGTGTGTGTCATGAGGGTGTGAGTACTTGCATGTGCTGTGCCATAGTCCTGGGCAGCAGGCTGGTGGGACTGGGCTTACTGGCCCAGCTGCTTGGTGGTGATCACCACGGAAGCACAGCAGCACAAATCAGATGAAGAATAGCAAAAATAACTTCTCAGTTTTATGAAAGTTTGTTCTTTCTCTTAACTTTTTGTTAATCTCTTTGTTTGTAGTGAATGCCAGCATAACATAATGTTACCTAATATATATTGCATCTTATTCACCATTTATTTCCCAGTAAAAAACAAACTATAGTCATTAACATCTGAGGGTTTTTACGACACCTGTGCTTTATCTGAGAATATGCAAAATGTATCCAAACACTTCCATTTAAGGTGAAGGTTTACACTGTGCTTTTGCTGGGCTATCTGGATTGGTTGGAATTTTGTGCAATTACTATTTTACACAGTGGCAGAGTATTTGTGAAGTGGCTATCAACTGAAACATATTTTGCTCTTCAGACTTGCTTTTGCAAGTTTCACAAAGCATTTAATTAGGGATAATCAGCTTTTAACCAGCCAGAGCAGACCAATGTGATTCTCTCCCTCTCTCCCCCCATAATTGTAGGCATAGTCTGTACCCGTAAGATAAATTACTCGCAGTCTGGAGAACATCCTATCCAGCAGGAAGGAGGTGAATAAGAATGTCATTTGCATGAGGATAAAGAAGATATTCTGTATACCGTTGATTTTGGTAAAGAATATATTATCTTTTTTCTTTTTCAGAATGGTGGACCTGGAAATCAGATGGAAATTACAACGTCTCCTTTCTCTCGAGGTTGCTGGTCAGTGGTCATCCTCCATGGTACCCAAAGAAGCTAGAAGAAATCCACTCTAATTTCTGTATGGTTTGTTTCACTATGGAAGATCAAATAATTTTCTGGCTCAGGTTTTGTGAAATTTGGCATCTGCCTTGGACCCACAATTTGGAAAAGGGATCATCTCTGAGGCACGGTTGAGGCAGATAAACCAGTTGCAGATGATGAGCACTTTAAGTATCACTGGAATATTACTCAGCTTAACGACAGTGTCTGTTACGCTGGATTTTAGTTTGCATGGTGGTCTGATGGCTTGGTCCTTAAGCAGCAATTTGACTCTTAATCAGAGTTTGCCTACATCTGATCCTCTTAATGCTTCTGAGAAGGGTGAAGTCTCTCGGATGTCCATGAGGGAGAAGAACTGGCCAGCCCTCCTGATCTTGGTTGTTATCCTGCTGACCATTGGGGGGAACATATTGGTAATTATGGCTGTGTCCTTGGAGAAGAAGTTGCAGAATGCTACAAACTTCTTCCTGATGTCCTTGGCAGTGGCAGACATGCTGGTGGGTATCCTGGTCATGCCCGTGTCACTCATTACAGTCCTGTATGGTAAGTGGCTTCCCTTCTTGTTTGACTATACGCTTTTGCAGGGAATTCCACGAGGCTGCAGCAATCGGCTTTGTCCAATTTTTCACATGTTGGTAGCTTGGGGAGTACCAGTGTGGGCTTGGCCATAGGTCTGTGCTGAGGTTCATGCTCTGCTGGGAGGAGAGCTTGTTTTCGTGCTACCGGGAATGACCCATGAATGGTGTCGGCATCAGTTTGGGGTGTTTGTTTGTTTGGGGGTTTTTGTGTTGTTGGTTTTTTGTTGTTATTATTGCTGAGTCCACCCAGAGAAACTACAACACTGAGTCAGCTTTTTGCCTTTTGATTGAACTGCAAGGATGCAAGACCTTAGGGTAAAGCTGAGGACAGTGTGTGTGACTGATCCATCTCCAAGCCAGGTCAGCATCAGTCCTTGAGATCCCACTGATCAGTGGGATTTGAGCAGTAATGTGGATAAGAAAGGAGATTCAAACAAAATAAAAAAAATAAGCTTAATTCTCAGCATCTATACCTGAGCTTGCTTTGTGCCTCTTGGGGTCATTTTGCCTTTCTGTGCCTCAGTTTTGCTATCTCTAACCTGAGAGAATTCCCTCAGTTTTAAAACCCTTTGAGATCTGCATGTATAGGTTTAAGCATTTATTTCTCTCCTACCATATTAGGATCAGTGTGTTTGCTATGAAGTAGGGCATTGCTCCTACACTCAAGTGTAGAATCACTGTTAGCACTTTGAAGGAGTAGAGTATCAGATACATCACTTTCTCATTTCTCTGAGACTCCAAATACATTGTGTTTTTCAGTACGATGTTAGGACTCTCCATCTCTGGGTATTACAAAGGGGTATTGTGTTCACCTCTGTATCTCTGGTCAATGTTTGTTTTCTCACAGGTCAATATAATGTGTGTGTGTGTTTAATAGACAACAATTAATCATTTTTGAAGTCATTTTCAGATTTTATTTGAAAAGTATTTTAATATTGGTATTTCTTGAAAAAGAAATAATGCTCTTTACTTTCAAATTTGATTAGCAATTGGCTTACTGTCCTACAAAGTAAAATGTAGGAAAATTTATGTGACTTCTTCACTTGCCTAAATGATTAAGTCAGACAGAGACACATTTCTAAAATACATTGATCAAGTATACATCATCCCAAAGCTTACATAACTTGTCCACAGAGAGTTCGATCAATATGTGATTTAGGTACAGAGCTAGTCATTGAGATCTTATGCATAAAGCTTTTTATTTTGGGCTATCAGAATAGTTCCATCGCTAAATCTTCCAAGTATTGCATCGTGTATTTTATTTTTAGTATATTACTCCAGTTCCCTGTAGCTTGAAAGGGGGCTTATAAATACTGAGTTGTTTGATTGACCTGCACTTACATAAATTCTGGGTTACCCACTAGCCCTAAAAAAGTGAATTTATGGAAGTGATCTTCCTACATACATACTTCCTGAATCTTTGGAAACTATTAGAAATGGATTTTCTGTTCTGCCTAGAAAATGATTACTTAAAGTTTTTTAAAGGTGTAAAGCATGCTCCGTATTTAGAGACAGGTAAAAATCATTTATATGAAGAGTAAATATAATTATTCCTCTTTTCTACCAGATGACGACTAAGCACTTTGCAAGCAAACGACACTAAATGGATTGGGGAGGTTTGGCAGAAGTTATAATTTTGGAAGAGGGATGAAAAATTTGTCAAAATACTGTGAGAAATGAGAATAGCTGCTGTCATTTTAGGGAAGCCAGGGGGCTGCTGGAGCTGTGCTGGGCGCTGGCACTGCTCTCTTGGGCCATATCAGTAGCCCTTGCTGGGCTGGACCAAAGCAGACGTGTTGCCTTCAGGCTTTGAGAGGGGAGGAGGAAAAGCTCCATTTGGGGAAAATGGGGCATCAGAGGAACTAGTGTACTGTTTTCAATGGGATCCCTGTGAAATTACTTTTCTATATCAAGCTACAAATTTTGGAAGTAAGCAGCCAGGGCTGTGCCACTCCAGCGGCAAGGGAAGAAGACTGCCGGAGTGAGTAGAGAAAGTCTGTCCTCTCTCCCAAGTGATAATTTGCTACTTCTTCCTGAAAATAAAAACTCGGTTTGATACGCAGAAGCTCAAGAGCTTGGACTAACTTGGTACTTCTGAGAGTACCAAAGGGAAAAGTCTGAGATCATGTCAAATGTATTGCTCCTCTTTAAATCCAATACATACATTCCCTTTTCTGGGCATCTAGAAAAATCAGAGAATATAAGACTAACAGGGCACATCAACAACCTCAGCATTTGATGGTTCATGTAAACTAAATGTGCACATGTTTAGCAAAGAGGGAAAGTAGGTTCAACCTGTCACTCATGGCTACGTACAGCTTGGAACAAATATATCCATATCTTCCTCAGCGTCACTTGTTCTGGGGTCACCAAGCTGTTCAGAGTCCTATACTTATTTCTAGCTTTGGCAGGGATCTTCTGTTATACTCAGCTTGGTGGACCAGTTCTTAAGGCAACATTAGTCAGCAGCTGGAAAGGCTCTTGGCAGAGTTGCAGCACTAACAAATGCTGTTATTAAAACTAACAGAGATCTATTCATTATTCTTGAGTCTGTTGTCATAGAATCATCATAGAATCATAGAATGGCATAGGCTGGAAGGGACCTTAGAGATCATCTAGTCCAACCTCCCTGTCATGGTATCATAAAGTAGCATATTTGGTATCATAAAGCAGCATCTCTGCACGACTGCACACACCGATTTTGAGGGCAAAATCTGGCCTCTTCTGTTACATAGAGTTCGTTGGCTTCGTTTCCTTTGAGCTATATTTTTTTGGAAAAAATGATTCTTCTTACACCAGCCTGCAAACACTCTGGTTACCACAGTGGCCTGTAGGACAGTGGAGTTCATCTTGTTTTCTAAGAGCTAGACATGAGGAAATCCAAACATATGCTTTAGTAGGGTTTATATGCTGTTTGACGTGGTAGCACACAAACCAGTATCAGTGATTAAGGGGTCAAATATTCACACATCAGCAGAATTCCTTTGAGAGTAACAAGCATTCATGGCCATGGATTGAGCAAGGAGAGCATTACTGCTTGGAGACATAACTGTGAATTTTCAGTCATTTTTACTGTATATTTTACCCTGTGTGTTCTATATAGTCTGGACTGTTTCAAAAGCTGCCATATTCTGTACAGAGAAATTTATGTAGCATGTCTCTTGCGAATTTGTAGAAGTCACTTTTAATTTATGCAATCAGAAAGGAACCTTACAAAATCATATATAATAAATAGAAGATTGACTAAGTTGCTTTAAAGTTTCCACATCAGCTCTCTCAGCCCCACCGATAAATTCTAGTTTGCACTGTAGGTTCATTTCCTTACTTTTCAGCTAATGAGGTAGATGAAGTAGTTTTCACTTCAAGCAAAACCAGAAAATTTGAGAGACATCTTCCACAAAGACTTTCAGTGGTTTTCTTAACTAAAAGAAAGAAAACACAAGTTGTTAGTTAATTTAAGAATCTTATTACAAAGGAAGGGATGGCAGGGTGTTTCATACTGGATTTTTCACCAATTAGTCAGCACTCTGATATACTTATCAATTAGTCCTTCTTAAATATCTTGAACTAATCAATGAATTGCATTTGAGAACTTAGAACGTTTTCCAAGGCATGCAGTTTCTAAAGAACTAAACAAATTAATATGCTAATTAATAAATATATATTGGGGAGAGTAAATGACAAACTAACATAATGTTTAATCTCAATGGAGAAACTTCTGATTAATTAAAAATACTGGTGTGATAGGGCATCAGGTATTCTGATTGTGATGGAGCTTCTGAGAACACACAGAGATTGTCTCCTTGCCTCAGATGATTTTAGGAACAAGAAGCGGTGGGTTTGCATGGTGTCATGTTTACAGGAAAGAAAGAGAGGGTTGTTCCTTGTTTACTAGGACTGTGAAGGAATGCGATAGAATCTCATCAGCTGAGATGGAAATTACAGAAGGGAATAAACATTTTGTTCTAATGTTCACAGCTGCTAATAGGTTTCCAGACTGTGGCCAACAAGTCGCCAGCATACTTGTCTGTGGCTCCAGGCATCCAGGCTTCTCTCTTCTCTGAGTTCCAAAAACCGCTGTAATGCTGGTGGCCTGATGCAGCTTCCAGGAGGGCTGGTGTTAGATGCAGTATTCATTAGCCCCAACTGCTGAAGCAGCTTTACATCCAGATTATTGTTATTATTGATAATTATCATCATTATTATGTGGTGACAGAGATGTACTGTGCACTTGTGCCAGACTTTGCTGTTTATTCCCTGTGCAGAGGGAAGGGAGGGGCACAGAAAGAGCTGTCAATCGAACAGCCTGCTCTGCAGTCCCCTTTCTCCTGACCCTGATAGGCCATTCTAGGGTGGCACTTGCTACCAGCAGTGACCATCTCTCACCTAATCAGGCAAGACAAAGACAGGGTGCTGCTGAATGAGTTTCTGGGTGCGGTTGATAGCTGAAAGGCCAGATGGAGGGAGCCTGGGGTGTTTGTAATGCAGATCTCCTCAGCAATATCAGACCGTGCTGCACACCTTGATGATGTCAGGTATTTTATGAAGTTGCAGCAAGGACAAATGTGCTCCTTCAACAGCTGGGTCCATCTGCTTCCCTACTGATCTCTAGTAATGACTCTTGAGACGTACAGGTTAGTATTTACAGATGCCAATCAGCTACAGGCACCTCTTCCCAAATGCTCTTTGTTTTGGTTGTTTTGGCCTTTCATCCAGAATTACGGATAATTAAATAAGCAGTGATGTCCACCTGGATTAATTAAGCCTTCCCTTTCTGACTTAGTTTTTAGTTATTATAGAATCTAGTCATTGGCTCATGACTGACATAGGAAACTGGTGAGATCACTCTGAATTATTATAACATAACAAGTTACACTTAAAATTCATCAATGTGCTGGAAAAATGGTGAACTCAAAATCCCTGAATTGGCACTGCACATTTTGTCCATGACTCATGACCCATTGT